TCTTGCGGGACGCTCCGCGGGAGAGAAGCTGGAAGCCCCGGGCGGCAGCGGGAGAAGCTCGGAGCGGGCGGACGCGTTCACCACGGCAGGGCTGTGGAAGAGGAGGGAGCAGCCCTTGCACCGCCTCCGCAGGGGGAAGAGGACGTCGGCGGTGAAGACGTTGCGCCTTGGCAGAGGTGTCAAAGCCATGCTTTGCTGACTGATAGACCTGGTTCTTGTCATGCAGGCGGTCCGCTGAGTTCGCCTGGCTGTCATCTTGGGAGCCTAACATTGCTGGAGAGCCGTAACATAATGCTAGACCGTTAACATTTATATCAACATTTTTCTACTCTGCTTATAAGTTGAAGGAGGTGTGTTTTTGTAAGGCATTTTAGATTGAAGAGCCTGCATTAGGGTCCTTGCTTCATCCAAAGTGCAGTTGATTTGGAACTTTAATGTTCTGTCCAGCAACAGTCAAGTGTCTATAGTAGAAGAGCTCTGTGGTCTTACAGTGCTACATTTGAACTGATCATGAGCCACATTTTAACTATCCTATTATAGTAGATTAATATCATTAAGTAGTTCTGTTAGCTGGATTCCACTGAGTTTGATAGTTGATTATAACCTTTTTGTTAAGCCTTTCTTATTGCTGGTGTATTGATACAGCCTTTTCCTTTTTTTTTTTTTTTTTTGTTATATAATGAAATAGGCCCATCTGCAGCCTTTATCAGAGGGTTAGAGAAGAGGATAGACACTGTTGGGCTACATGCTGCCATTACATCTATAGGGATTTACTATTTTGAGATGCCTTTTCCTCCCTCAAATTTGGTTGAAATTGAAAAGAGGGGTTAGGAATCAAGCATTGTGATTAGGTGGCTGGAGCACATGGTACATTGATTGGGAGAGTGTTTTGCTGATTAGGGATAGCAATTAGACGCCAGAGTGAAAAGAGCAGGCGTATTTTACTTAAAATAACTAAATAATGTAACAGAATAATACAGAAAACATACAGTAAGAAAAGACAGAACAGCGTGCTTAAACAAATAGGAAAATACAGGGTAATCATTACTACCTGAGAAAGAGAATAGTGATTAAGAAAGATACATCACCACTTGAATACTTTATCATCATTCAGATCCGCAGTGGCTGGGGAGCCCTGGTTACAGTGAGGGTTTGGAGAACCTTTCCCTACAAGTGGGAAATCCTATGCGGTGAGGCTTCCAAAGTCGCTGCAAACTGGCCCAGCCTTATATACCTAAAAATCAGCAAGCCAGAATAGCTGGCACCTTTGTTTTAAGCGGAAATATCTGGTTTCTTTCTCATGTTAGATTGCCCCAGAGCCTGGCCAGGGCTCAGAGGAGAAACTAAGGGTGTTTCCCACCTTATTTAATTGATTTATGAGCAAGGTCACATGCCAGGTCACAGGGCCAGACAGCTGTCTCTGTTACCCTATTATCTTGCCTATACACAAGGAAAGATAAGGATATATATATATATTTATTTATTTATTTTTTAAAGATAAACATGTTTAGTACAATACCTACTACTATAATGGTTATCATCTATAAAATATACAGGATTCATCTATAGGTCAACTCTGGCTTGGGCCTATTGTCCAGGCCTTAGCACTTCAGAGAGGCTGAGGAACAGAGGGTTCTTCTACCTACAGAAGGTGATAAGAGGGTATCTACTTGCAGCCCTCCACTACCTAAAGGTGGGAGGGGTATACAGAAGAGAGAGCCCTAGTCTTTCCAGTTAGGAGAGTCAGGTAATGTGTAGGCACACATTTTCCTATTTGAAAAATACATTCCTGGTAAGTGCGATGATTAACTGTGTGACAGATAGAAAAACAGTTGCTCATAAAAATTAATGCGAAGTGTGTCTCAGCTTCTGAAAATCCAGCATCTCCTCCAGTTGATGGTCCTTGTCTCCACCACCTCCCATATACTCTCCTTGTATACTTGCATGTGCCTCTTAGGTCCTGGATTTCCTGCTCTCCCATTATGTTAATTTTTATGAAGAGCTTTTTTTGTCTGTCAAACTTGGCTGATTCATCTTTGAGGCTGAATGCTTAACATAAATCTTTCAGGGTGAGCATTCCTGCCGGCCTCCTCTTGAAAAGATTCATTATTATTGCCATTATCTTCAGCTCAATTGTGTCAGTCAAGGATGAAGGACAGGAGAGATGTACAGGTGATGAATAGCAGGCAGGGTGTTAAATAATTGGTGCTCTAACTCTAAAACAGTGAATATAGAAGTGATGAGAGCTGGCAGGGAGTGTTCATGTAAGAGCACAGGCTGTGAAAGCCGTGTTTGTTCAGCCTGGAGAAGACGACTATGGGAAATCTGGCTGTAGTTTCCACTGTGATGGATGGAGCCAGACTCTTCAAAGTAAAGTGTAGAGAATGGACTAGAGACAATGATTGAAAGTGGTAACAAGAAAAATCCTCATGAGAAGAAAAAGGGAAAATATTTTCATAACAAGAATGGTTAAACATTGGAAAAAAACTGGCCAGAAGTGTTTCAGAATGTCCATCGCTGGAGACTTTGCACAGTCATCTGAATGAATTCCAGATCAATGTGAATTAGCGTAAGCTGATGTAACTTTGAATTTCAGCCCCACTTAGAAGAGGAAATTGAACTAGATGACCTCTGAACATCCTTTCTAACCAAACTATGATTTGAGAAATGGAGCCTAAAATTGTTTATGGAATTTAAGCAAGTTAAGGATTTTTTCCCTCATGAATACCCATTTTGCTTTTAGAAACTTTAATTTAAGGACAGGTAAACTCTGTTTTTACTTTAATTTGCTGCTTGAGTGATCAAAAATTTACACATCTTTTCTGTGACAGGATTTGAGATCTCAATGCCCACATAATCTTTTTGTAGGCAACAGACTGAGGTCTGCTGTGTTGATGAAGTTCATAAGTATTTATAGTAGTAACTGGGCACAGATTATTATCTTCAGATACAATGTTTTCATCTTTTAAGAAAAATATTGCTGCTTTAAAATGTATTGATCGTTAATGGGCAGTCTCATAGCTAAACTGTTAAAGCATACTAATATGCTGATATTTGTAATTTTTTTTTTTTCCAGTATGACTTGCAGTTCTCTTCTGCAATGTCTGTGGAGTATGTATGTTTAGAGGTAATGTTTTATTTCGCTACTTCTCTAACAGCAAAAATTCAAGGCATGAAAAATGCTGTTCCCAAGAATGATAAAAAGAGACGAAAACAGCTGGCTGATGAAGTTGCCAAACTAGAGGCAGAACTTGAAGAGAAGCACAAGGAGGAATTAAAGGAGATGAAGGAAGCTTCACCTGAGCAAAATAAGGTAGGTGCCTTAACTTTAGCTGAAGTTGTAAGATACAGTATGCATTAGGGCTTCTTTAACTTTTAAAAATTATAATGAAGTAACACTTTAAAGTATTTCTCCTTTTCCTTGTAGTAGTAGCTCTTCATTTTTGGAAAGATTCAGCTATTACAGTGGGTGGGTGTTGTCAGAAGGGGCATTTAACAGTGGTTTTTTTTTTGTTGTTGAGCAGTATTTGGTTTTGCTGGTAAGTCTCAGTCATTTTATGGGGTGTTTTTTCAAGTTTCTGTTACATTGTCACTCTAATTATCAACATACGTAGACTACCAGAGTATTGTTGGCCTTCAACAGGCATTTGACTGATGCGGTGTGTTTTGTCTATCAACAGTATAACTGACCTTTTTGTAAGAAGACACTTCCTGTGATGATAATTGTCGTCTTAAATGCTGCTGTTCTGCCATGTTGGCAACACAGCTACATATTTAAATGCTTCCAGTTTGCTGTTTGATGGCAAACCACTTAGTTTTTTAACAGAGTCTTAGCATTATTCAAATTTAGCTGCAGGAAATATGGCCGCCTGAGTAAACTAGGTGCTATTACTTGACTGACAGAAAAATTCACCTATGTTTTAGCACTTATTAATAAGTAGAGTGTTGGAAAGTCCTCTCATAGTGAATTTACAACCTGTGAACTTAATTCTGTATATCCAGTACAGAGAAGAACTCTATTTGTATCATGTGGCTGAGTTTAAGGACCATTTGTGCAAGTAGATCTGTTCATATATGGAAATAGAGCTTATGGCTAAATTGGTTCAATACAGTTATCTGTGAATGATGCTAATGCTTCATGCTTATACATCTCTTGAAGTGTTTCCCTGACAGTGTGTGTCTTTTGGCTGTTTAAGTCTTGTAAAGAAACAAACAAAAATCTGTCTGCCTGATGCTTTCTTGACTAGGTGTTTTCTGATTTAGTAACCTAACAAAGAGTTAAGCTGAACGTACTTTTGTTTGAAAATGAGAGTGCAAACAGTTCCAAATGACTTTTAGGGAAACAGACTTGACTGAGAAGCATCTGCTGAGAATCCTTGTGAAAAAACGTTTTTTCCGATTGTGAAAGTTATGACCCTATAACAACTTGGAGTCGTTTTTAATCAGATGATTAAGTAGATGCATAAACATTAAACATAATGCTTCTGTTTACCTGTATCTTAGATTAGTTTAAAGAGTTTGTTTTATTTTGCTAAATGAGCTGTAAAAACGTTACCATAGAGAACCTTTCAAGCTAAAATCTTTTGCCCTGGACATAGTCTGCCTGAGAGGATTTTGTTTTGAGATGTATGGTTTCTTTCACTTTTCAGTCTTTCTATTCGTATTGAAACATGTCCATGCTTCCAAAGGTGACATCCAGTTCATACTGTTATAGAGTTAGCTTTGTCATTTTTCTTGGAAAATGTCAGCTCTCCATCTTTTCTAACTGCTGTGTTATGCTTTGGTGTGGAAGGTGGAGCCTTCTCCTGATTTAATTGGCACAGAACTTGATAATGGCTGTTTGGGTATTTCAGTCGATCGATGTGATGAGGAAAACTCTCTGTTTCAGCCAGTAAACGGTGTTCACAGTTCAGTGTGTAAGCTTGTAAGAGATTAAATTTGAGATGTGCAGTTCATAACCGTCTCTGAAACTACAGAAAAAATAATAAAATGCATGACAGTGGTTTGAGATGCAACGTGCTTTACTTTTGACTTTGACGGGTTCTGTGCTCTGCACAGGTCTTTGTGGTTAAACTTCATAAATATACCCTGGAATTACCTAGGAACAGAAAATTGTTTCAGGAGATGCACATCTCAGTTACCATTATACTAATAAGAACACTTAACTTTTTTTTTTTCTTTTTAGACAGATTCTATAGCCGATGGGGTTGCAAATTTAGACCTTGAAGGAGCAGAGCAACAGATTCAGCATCCTCGAATATCAAAAGCACAGAAGAGGCGGGTATGCCTTAACATTTAAAAATTTAACAGATATTTGATTGAAATTACATTCACTTAACTGTAATAATCAAAGTTTGCAGTAAACAATTTTGCAGGGGACATTACCTGGCTAATTCACTATTGATGCTGTACCTACTGGGTGCCTTGAAAATCTGTAAAGCTGCTACCGAGAGATATGTAAGCATTTTCTAAATAGCTGTACATTTTTGCCCTCAGCCATGAGATGGGAAATCAGAACAGGTCAGGAGATGGGAACCAGAAGAAAACAAATTATGTAAAGCAAATTATTTTAAAAGAACTTCACTAAAAACATTAATAAAGAAGTAATTGAATTCAAATAATGTAAAATATTACATGGAAAATATGCTAGTAATAGAACTATACACATTTAACAAAAGAACATTAATACTGAAATTCTTATAAATTTTTGAGTTGTTAAGAAACACTACCTGGTGTCCAGGCCATTAGGGTTGTTAAACTTCAGTTTAAGTCTTAAGACTGTGATGGATTAACATTCTCACTGTATCTGCATGAATCTTGGTTCAGGGCCAGAGGAGCACTGCTTTATTGCAGAGGCCATCCCCAGTTACATGATCATTGTTGCAGAGCTGCCTTGTAACAGATGTAATAAAAGGATGTTCTTAATTCGTGGAACCATGTTTAGGTACATTAGAAACTGTGTAGCCTAGTTTTCCTATATTGTGGTCACCTAAACCAGTCTGGTCTTGATTTGTGGTGAATTCTAAGTGTGAAAGTGAAAAGATCATTCTCCGTACTGGTTCCTTTTATATTTCCTCATTTACTTTGACTCTTACTCCCTTATTAACTTAAGCGTAAACTTACAAAGCAGTCTTTGAAAGTAATTTTTATGTTATGTGTTATTATATCCTTTGTAGTTCTCTCCGTATGCATTCTTATCCATTCTTTAGGTTAGGAGCAATCTTTTATGATGTATAGTCTAGCCTGAGGGAGTTTCAATTTTGTGACATTCTTGCCATTATGCAATCGCATGCGTAAGTGGTAGATCCCACGCCTACTAGGAAAGAGCAGTATTTTCTGTTTAATTAGAATTCCCATACTTGAGTTGTTTGCCAGTGGTGAAATAGGTGATCCTACAAACAACTACAATAGTAGAAACAACTACTATTAATATAGCCTTTGTACGTGTGTTGTAAGGTGTTATTTTGCATGTTGATAGAATTAAGATTTCTCCTGGCACTTAATCTAGTATGTGGTGTCAGAGGCAGTTAACATATATTGGTCACTTACATTTGCTAAAGTTTGTGTTTAGGAGGTCTCTAAGATTCAGTAGTACTGATTCTGGAGAACATTCCACAGATATGTATGTACTGAGAAAACATTTGAAGAGTTAGAAGCAAGCACTAAGCCAAGAACTATACAGGCATCTTCTAAATTTTAACATTTGATGTAATTTTTATGTGGTTTTAATCTAAGGAAAAAAAAGCTGCCTTGGAGAAGGAAAGAGAAGAAAGGATAGCTGAAGCTGAGATAGAAAATCTAACGGGTGCTAGACATCTTGAAAGTCAGAAACTTGCCTCCCTCTTGGCAGCAAGGCACTTAGAGATTAAACAGATCCCTTCAGATGGACATTGCATGTACAGAGCAATTGAAGATCAGCTCAAGGATCGACAAAATTCCTGGACTGTCGCAACTCTGAGGAACCAAACAGCAAAGTACATGCAAAGTCACTTTGATGACTTCCTGCCATTTCTTACAAACCCTAGTACTGGAGACATGTATAGCAGAGGTAAGACTTGTGGTATAAGAGATTTTAAAAACTGTTATATCTATTTCTGATAATTGTTGATCTCAGTTACAGCTGAATTGGGACTAACCTGTTACGGTGTTTGTTCCTGAACTCTGTTACTTTGTTGGTTTGACTGTGTTCTGTGGAACACAGAATTAATGATCTGCTGTGAAACTTGGTACACCTGAATCTTTGTAATTTATCTTGTTTTTTAAAAAAATATATATATTTTTTTAAATAATCTAGCAAACATTATTCCCTGTTAAAAAAAAAATCAGAACTTGCTGGTTACTAGATGTTAATAATATTCTGCCATGTGATTTAAGTTGTATTATAAACAGATTGTCTACCAGGTTAGGGATGATTTTTTGCCACTTTTATGTTGGTGTTTTCAATTTACATAGGAAAGCTGTTAAAAATGAGTGTGAAATTCAAGCAAATTATTTTATAATGGTTTGCATAGATGCTTTTCCTTATTCTGCAGTTTATTTTCACTGTTTATAATAGGTCTTTTGGAGCCCTTTCTTATAAATGTTAAAAAAATATAAAAGCATTTAGTGTGGAGCAATGGTGTCAGCTGAGTAAATGCAGTTAAACGGAATTTATGTATACATGGTTTATTAATTTCTTACTGTGTGTATGGAACACCATGGAAATGACTATACATGTTTATAACTTACTGTTACATTCATTTAATAGTTATTGCTGTGGATTTCACTTGGTCACTGGAAACTGGTGTGAAGTAGGAGGCATCTTCCCCTTGTTGACTGAGATAATTGTCACAGGATAAATGTGCCCCAAGAGAAGACTGAATGAAGTTCTGCAGAGCAGTGGGGAGTGGTTTTCTTATGTCCCTTAAGTCTGCTATAAAGCAAATGTATGAAAAACAATTCTGAGCAGTCTTCAGAAAATCTGTTCTTTCTTTATCAGAAGCTATTCATAAGATTCAGAAGGCTGAAAGGTTGTAATTTATGTATTTGAAAGCTTGGTTTCTTTAGAATATGATCTGCAAAAAGTTTATTTAGCTATTAAAGGAACTGTTAGGAATAAATAATTAAGAGGTTAAAAACAAGACAGGTAATCTGTAAATAATAAAAACCCAAACAACAGTTGAACCACATAAAGTTATAAGATTTTAAAAACATACCTGACACCTAGCTAACCTAAGAAGTAAGCACACTATTTGCTCTTGGATTATTTCCTAGAGTCTCAAAACAACACCCTCTGAAACTTAACACGAAGAGTTTTCATACTTGTTGTTTGTCACCATACTTGCAATTTCATACTTGTTGTTAACAGTTCACTACATAAAAAGTTTAAAATATAAACCTGTACTTCTTTTTATTGCCAGACTTGGTTTTATTGCGTTCTTCAGTCTTAATTTTTCTTTCTAAAACAGTTACAGGGTTTTTGGCGGGGCTCTGGTGTTTTTCTTTTCCTTCTCTTCAGTGAGCATCCATATTTTCCTGTATAATGTGTTTGGACTTTCTGGGTTCTAGTTCTTCATTTTACAATCAGTATTTTTCCTCAGTTGCTTGTTCTCAAATAAGAGAAGTACTAAAAGTTGTCTTTTCTTTCCCCACAGAGGAATTTGAAAAATACTGTGATGATATAGCAAATACAGCTGCATGGGGTGGTCAGCTAGAAGTAAGTATTTTACTGATAATTTTTATTTGTGAAATTATGGAGTGGGTGAATATACCTTCAGAAAAGAGCTTCTTATGTATGCCTTCAGACAGTTTTTCTTAGTTATAAATAGTTTATCAAGAACGATCTCCTATGCTTATAAATTGTTTTCCCAAGTTAGCAGCTTTTCTGATTGTGTGCTGCTGTTCTGATGTATTTGATGATATGCAAGTTAATGAATTCAGTAGTTCTGAGTATCATTAGAAAGAGTGACAGTATGAGTGAGGGAAGATTTTTTTTTTTTTTTTTTTTTTCCTAAGGAGAAAGCATTTTATTATGCAGATTTACCTTGTAGCAGAGCTGACTAGAGGGGAGCAATATTAGATTTTTGTAATGTAAACCAGAATCTGAGCTTGATATATTATATATTTATTTTAGTTTGTCTTATTTATTGTTTTATGAAAGAGTAGTTACCAAATTACTGAAGCTAGCTCAGTTACCTGTGCTGTCATCCAAACAATGCTTAATTTAAGGCCACCTGTTTTCAATTGAAGTTTAAAAAATGAAAATAATTTTGTTTATTTTAATGAAGTTTGTTTTCTAACAATATTTGAAATGTTATGCCTGAACTCATGTCTGCTAAAACTAAATGACGTCTTACTCTCTCCTCCCTACATTGGATTTAATCCTATTATTGAATTGTTTTTATGCCTTAAAGCTAAGGGCTTTGTCGCACATTTTGCAAACACCTATTGAAGTAGTGCAAATGGATTCCCCTCCTATTATTGTCGGTGAAGAATATTCAGACAAACCAATAATACTTGTGTAAGTATGTAATTTTATCCCTTCTTAAAATTAGTGCACTTATTTCTATAGCAGATGGCTTGCGTGCTCTTTTATTTTCCATTGTGTATCTGATGTTGAAACACTGCTTGAATAATGATCTTGCAGGTCAGAAATGATGTTTGTGATTGACATACTTAGTTTAAAGATATTATAATTAGAGTTGACAGTCTGAAGTGTGGTTCAGTCACTGCTTTATAGAATGCTACAAGGTCATTTTACCTGTTATATCAATTTCACTATTATTTTGTAATTACCTAAGATGCAGCAGGAAACATTTTTCTCTTTGAAGTTTATGTCAATCTGTGCCTGGAAGTCGCCAGAATTAAAAACTGTCTTTATTAATGCTCCCCCGTTTAATGATCTTATTATATTATCTGTGCTAAATTATTATTGCTAAAATATTATCTGTGCTAAAACTTGAATTTATTTAAGCTTTTTTCTGGTGATGTTAATATTTGGCATGAAACATACTTTTTGTTAAACTGAACACTAATTCTGTGTCTCTTTTTTTTTCTTTTAGGTATATGAGACATGCCTATGGATTAGGAGAACATTACAATTCTGTAAAACTTCTAACAGACACTGCTACAGAAAACAGCAGCTAGCACACAAGTGTCATAAATCCACATGGGTAACAGTTGCATTGTGACATGTTGGACTCTAGACAATTCCCAGAAAGATTGGAAAATAAGACTAAATGGAATGGATTAAAAATAAAACAAAACAAAACAGACATATAAGGTTTGAGCAAAAATCAGAAATAGTTCTTGATTTAAAACAACCAAACCAAAACCACACAACAGTATTTTGAACGGGATACGAATCATGTTTAGAAGATCTCTAAAATGGTGGTTGTGTAGATCAGATTTTTTTTTTATTTTTAAATAGAGCTTCATCCCATGCTGCAGTGAAAATACTGAGTCGTAAATATTTTGTTAATCTGCATCTCTGCTGAAGAATTAAGGTTACCTGAAGGTTCCTGTTACATTATTTCTGGCATATGCTGATGATCATGGAAGAGTTAAGGCATTTAAAAGAGTTGATTTTATCCTGATTGATGGAATATGCTCCAGAGTGTTTCTTTAGTTCTGTCAGGATCTAGCTTTAATGCTGTAGTAGGGATCTCCTTTATTTGGGCAGAGAAGAGCTGGAGGCAAATCCAGTAGTAGAATATCCTGCTTGACTGAAGGAATTGCAGTCTTCTTATTTTAAAGACTTTCATCTAAGATTTTACCAAGGTTTGAGGACTTCAGTACTTTTTTTTTTTTTTTTTCAGTTGACAGTAGGAACTGAACACTTGATGCTATTCCTAGTACTGAATCTGTAAGAAGAGTACTGTTATGACTATACATCATAACATTGATGCAAGTTAACTGTGCTGTTCATCTTTCTTAGTTTCTCATCTGTGTATTTCAATGATACAATAATCTTACAAACAAAGCTCCTTATTGTCCTCACTTGGTGTAGTGAAACTCATCTGGACTCATAGTTTCTGGATCTGTTGATTTAAGAACTTCGTGATCTGAAGTGTGATGTTTTATAATGCTTAAACCAGCTGGTTGCATACAGATATGAAAATAACCACCTTGGGTTTTGTCAATAACTTCAGAGGTGATGTGCAGAAGAGTTAAGTTTTTCTTTTAATTGCTCCTTATGATGCACGGAGACTTGAAAGGTGGGTTTTTCAAAATGGCTTGACTTTTTACATTAGAAATGTAGAATTTTTTTGTCTTTAAATCACTGTGAATGTGACTCTAAAATTAGCAGCATACTGAAACCAAAGTTATAATGCAATTGTTTTGTAACAGTAGAAGTGATTGTTTTATTGTCTTTTAAAGCCTCAGTCAATAACATGATAATTGTATTTTAATGCTGAGGAGTTGGCTTGGAGAAAATTTAAACACCTTTGCCCTAATTTGAGGTTTATGAAGCCTGCATATTTTAGTCCTTCAGTAAAGCTAGTCAGCAGATTGATGTTCCTGGGAATTACAAATGAGAGAGACTTACTTAAAAAGGAGCTAAGTGTTCACTTCATGGATCAGATTATGTCTGATTTAAACCACTTGGAGAGGGGAGGGGGGTGGAAATCAGTCAATCATAGCAGGGGGCTTTGGACAAGCAGAACTTAAATTATGACTTCTTTAGACTGGTGCATGCCAGGAAAACAAAGTATTAATCAGACCGGGAGTTTTTACATTCTTATTTATCTGATACAGTATAGTGAATAGAGCTGTACTTACAGCAACTGGTTTACTGTAGAATTTGGTTTACTACCTTGATTGTATAAAACGATGTTTTTAATTTCAAACCAAAAGTCAGATACAATGGTATGGGAAAAGTGTCTAATTCATAATACCACTGAATTTCACTAAAAATAATTAGCAGAAATACATCCGTATTGCTTAGAGTTGGTGTGATATGAAATGCACATGATGCTTTTTGTAGATGCCCTGTGAAAAAAACTCTTTGGTTTACAGGGTTTTCATTCTTGTTTGATTAACTGACAGAAAAGATGCCAGAATGGTGGAATGTCTGTACCAACAGTTTGTCCTGTTGAAGATGTTTACAATTTGTATAAAGTGAAATAATGTTTTAGTATCGTGAGTGAAAGATCATTGCTCATGCTGTATGGAACTTGCCAAAAATAAATTGGTTTATTTGTGGCAGATTTTGTTGTGCTCACTTTTAATTTTGTTCACTTCCTAGCAAGTTTACTCATTTCATTTTTATGACTTTTTAGGATCCTGCTGTAGTATGAATGCTCCAGTGACTGACTGTTCCTATTCAAGCAGTCAAGGCTTTACCCTTTATGAAATGAAGGTTGTTTCTAAATAAGTTTGTCTTCAGCATAATAGTGGTTAAATTGAACTCTTCTGAAAAGCTATATTTGAAAGAATGATCATAGGAATGATTAGGTGAAACTGAGCGGTTTCTTTGTCAGATAACCTTTTCTTTCCAAAATAGCACTATTTTATGTATTTAAGTAGCTTTTTCTGCTTATAGCTGCAACGCACTGACATCAGTTTCTTCAGTCCGTTGCTGTTTTAAGGGCTGTTAAGTAGGTCTTTCGCATGATTAACTGAGGTTAGTTTCCCGTAGGAACACTCATGTGAAAGGGAGAGAAGCTCTCTGGTGGTCTGCAGTAAATGGTGTACGATATTCTTAAAAGGAAGACGGGTTTGCTTTGGAAGCCATGGGTACAGAGGTAGGCCCTGAACTCCTGGGGGCGGGGCCAGGGGGCGCTCAGCTGTTGCCACGGTAACAAGCGGCAGCCACCGGCCTGGGCCGGGCCTAGGCCGGGCCTTAGGGCCGGGCACGGCGGGCTGGGGCGCTGGGGGGGCCGGCTT